CAGTCTCGGGGAAGACACCTGGACCAGTAAACTCCTCTAGTAATTCTATAATTCTACGTAATATAAAATAAAAGGCCATGGTTTTTTTTAATTAAATGTCTAAGAAGCACAGAAGTGCAGCGCAGAGCAGAGAGCGCTGCAGCGGCACTGGCACTCGGGGTCACCGGGCAGCTGTGCAGTGCCCTCTTCTGCTTTCCCACCAATGCAGCTGGACCCACCCTGAACACTGACACAGTCCCTTTCCCATTTTTCAGTCCTTTTCAGAGTATGAACATAAATAACTCTGTCTGTATCCTGAGAAGCTATCAATTTTCACACATATACAAACATCACAGGGCTACACAAATTATACACCCAGTGTTGTAAGCACAACAATCATTAGTTTTTCAGGTTTTAGCATAGCAAATTTATTTCTACCAAATGCTGTAGACTCAACTCATACCGCCATTTAAAATAAAGCTTGCGGATAAAGCATGCACTACCTAATAAAAAGATACTTCATCCAGCTGCTTAAAAGAGTTGCCAGGAAGTTACTGACATACCCAATTCATTTCAATCACAATCTTGGTATGATGAAGAATTTAGTAAAAAAGAAGCACAAGGATTTATTTGTGCCACTGACTCTCACTGACAGAAAATAAGTTTAAGGGTTATACTTGAGAACTTCCACTCCAAAAGTGCTCTTCCAATTAACAACAAATTTTGATTGCCTAGAAACTGACACACATAGTTTAAAGAAAAGAGATGATGGCTTTTGTTAATATAACACATCTCACATGGTATAATCATACTGATGGAACTACTGAAACAATCTGTAAATATGCTAAAGACAAATTGAACCACTCCATTATGAAAAACAAAAAAGTTATCACTGTTTTGCGGGGTACAAATAGCTATGTAATCACTTCAATCATAAGGAAAGTGCCATGTAATTACAGTACATAGTTATTCATGTCTCACAGACTACATGGCAATAAAAGCAGGTTACCTGTTACCATATTTAGTAATTTGGAGTTGATGGTGACAGTTGGCAAATGTTAAAGATAACTTTAAAAAGGTGAAAATAATTGTAAAACCATATAAAGGTGAAAATAATTACAATACCATGAAGTTACACACTCAGAGGGTTTTGGTTTGCTGTTGTTTTGTAGTGTTCTGGATTTTTGTTTTTGTTAGACAGATTTTATCAAAATGTGAATGACCTTTCAGAAACCACAGGTGCAGTCTGTCCCTAGAGATCTGCAGAGATGTTACAGGTATGGTGGTCCTGGAACTTCTTAAACAAAACATTCCGTTATCAAAACATAACCAAGATATCAACATTTAATTTTGCATTGTTTCACAGAGCCAAAGATCACCCAAAGATTTTGCCCGCTAGCCTTATTCTGGTTTTGCTGTGTAGCTTCTCTTGCATATTTCTCTTTCAGTGATATCTTTAAAATCTGAAAAGCTCTCCCAAAAGACCTCTGCAGTCACTCTACCCCTCTTTTCTGTTAAAACAGTTCTTCAGAGAATGTTCAAATATACTTGCTCTGCAGAACCCACAAAAGCATGTCACAGACTTCTCGCTATTTTCTACACCTGGTAGACAAAAAGAAATACAGATTAACTATATTCATCTGTAAATGAGTAAGAAAGAAAGCTAAAAAGACTCAATTTTCATACAGTTCTGATCTTTCATACAGCAGAAACTGCTGACCACATTAATAATTCTCTCTCTGCAACAGATCTAGGAACAGATTTTAATCTGCAAGCTGCTAGACTACCAAATTCAATCTGGAGAAATCCATTGATATAAAGAAATTAACTTTCAGATGTCAGGTGTGATATATACAAATTATTACCTTTTTCTTACAAGCTACATTCCTTTTTTTACTTCAAGTCACCAGTGAACAAGAGACAAAGGCAAACACTATCTGTAAAGAGCCACTTTTTAAATCCTGATTTTAGAAAAGCAAAATTTGGGAACTGAAATCTAAGTGATGCTTCTCTTAGTAGTTCCCCCTTTTTATATCTGAAGAAAGATGATCAGCTTTGCACCTACCCTAAGTCACCCACGAATCAAAAACCAAGAATGAATTACTTCTTTATGGCCCTTTACAGTCAGTAAAAGGAAACAGGAACCTCCAAAAGCAAGATTCTTCTCATTCTAAAATGAATGTCTAAGGTCACAGGTCTACTTCTTCTATGTTTAGATTTAGGAGAAATAAATCCCACCTGTAGTAAAGAAATAGTTATCAACAGGATGCTCATAATGAAAATTAGTTAGGCTATTTCATTTTTCTTAGGCAAAAGATATTAATTAATCTGTGGAAGCCTTACTAAAGTCTTCCCTCTTCATTAACAGAGTATCAGTTCTCCCCTCAACACAAAATGATTTCTGACTGGGAATTAATACTGAAAGAAAATTATGTAAGTTGCAAAAGAAAAGAAAGAAAAATTAATAGCTAGAATTGTTAAACAAACATTTTTTGAAGTGTCCTCTTCTGGTGAAAAAAAAATAAATCAGTTATTAGCTGGAAATTGTAGGATTGCTGACAGTAACAAAGAAAAGCAGGAGAAGTTTAATACACACATCTGTCCGAGAAAAAGCAAACAACATTCTTATGATGATGATGAAATAGTTTCCATTCCAACAGTGACTCAAGAAGATATTAAACAGCAGCTATTAATTGAACACTTCTACATCAGCAAAGCTGGATAACTTGGATACAAGCGTGCTGAAAGAGATGGCATAGGTACTGGCTGGACTGGTAATGCTTATTGTCATTAAGTTTTTAAAAACTGGAACTGGAAAAGTTCACAAGAACAGAAAGAACAGAAGTGCTATGTCAATATTTACAAAAGACAAATTGGATGCCCTAAATAATTATAGGCTTGCCAGCCTGAAGTAGATTTTGTGAAGAAAAATAATTTTTATGTAGTGAAATAGCTGATGAGAGATTTGATTTTGAACAATTAAATTAAATTACACAATGAATGCCAATCAACAGGTCTACAGACAACAGACATTGTTTTTAAACTGGGTTTAAAAAAGTATGTCTTTATGTAATATTCTTAGGCTTCTGGAATACACTCAGTTTGGCACTGTAGGACATTTTGCTTAATCCATTAGAACAATCCAATATCAATGAAGCACTTTTAAAATTGTATAAGTTTATTTCATTTACGGGCTCCAGGATATACCTGTAAACAAGGAGTTTTCATCGAATGATGCATTTCTGGTGTGATCCCATGGGACCTGCCCATGCTGTTTGACATTTAACAGTCCCAAAGAAGCCCAAGATCATCAACAACAGAGAAACAATGCTGATAAATAATGACAAAGACAGCTTGCCAATACATTGCTAAGGTGTCTAGTAGCACAGCAATATAATTTGGAATAGACGCCCCTTGAACAAATCTACAGAAGATAATCCTGTTTCAAGTGACTGGATATGCACGGTGTTTCTTGGAGAGAAGGTTGCAGAAAGCAAATCACAGGCCATGTTGACTATTCTGAGCACAGGTAATGGTAGCTATAACAAGAAACCGAAGGGTACACACATTTTCATCTAGAAACAAAAAAGATGACAGTGTTTTCTGCCCTAGAAAATAATGCCTCTGAAAATGCTTTGGGGCATAGTAGCTAAATTTTCACAGGGCATCTGTAAGGATCAGTCACAGCCTCAAAGGACTGATGTCTGCTTTGGAGATTAGGGAATTACCAAGTTGGAAAAGAAAGGTTTTATGATGTCTGTAGTTGACACAAGAATAATTCCCATTGCACTGCTGTTGTCTGTCCTGATGTCCCCAAAGAAGAGTGTTCAAATATGCAGAAAAATAGATTCAAAGACATCAGGGAAGAGTCATTAGAAGGAGTGAAAGATTGGAAAAAATTCTCTGATAATTCAGGGCTTGAGGAACTTGCAATATTTGCCTCATAAAAAAAAGAGCAAAGAAAATCTTCCTTAAAACATACAGAAGAGGATCAAAAATGCAACAGGCATTCATTAAAGGTGAGGCAGTTAAACACTGGAACATCTTGCCCAGACTATAGTGGATTTTCTACTGCTGGAAATACTCAAATCATAATTAGATACTTTGACCCTCACCCCAAACAGGTGTTTTAGTTTAGAGGATATCTGTAGACCTTATTGTTAATAAAGACAAAGTAATCAAAACAATACCTTCTGGATTTACATCTAGTCATTTATACTGGCTAATCAACAACCGTGGCTTTACTAAAACAGAGAGAAGGTAGTGGATGTCCTCGAGATGAGTATTTCTGTGCTTGGTTCCACAAGTGCCATCGCGTGCTGTTCAGCATCTCGCAGTGCTTGGCAGAAGCCTGCATTATGCTGAAGCAGCCCAGACATGGAGATCAACTCACATTCAGCGCAGGAGTAACTCCAACAGGTACAATACAGAGTTCACCAAGTTACAACTGCTATAGGCTGAATTTGGCTTATTGTGCTTAAGGCAGTTCAGACAGAGCAAAACAGCACAAAGTAAACACAATTTCCCATTTATAACACAGCAGCCCAATCTTTTCAGTGCTGAGAGAGAGGAATACCTCTTTCAGGACACCAGTGCACATCAGGCCCAAGAGGAAAAGCAAACCCTTCCATGGAGGTGATGGGATCTCCTCTGGGACAGAGCAGCAGAATAAGCTTCCTACATACCTGGCCTGTCACAGGGACGGCAAAACATGCAGAAGCAGAAATCACTTCTGCAAGAGGAAGACAAAAAGAAAGGAGGCAGAGGGGGACAGGGACACCCTTTTGTCATTTTCCCTTTCCCTCCCTGCTCCAGTCATGAAGCCAGCAGCAGGAGCTGGTTAAGGAAAGGCAGGAGACCTGCAGGTGTTTAAGTGAGATGGTTGCTACTCCTGCTACTGCTTAAGAGGCCACAGCATGTTCCTTTGTCCCTGCAGCTGAACACAAGTGAGGAAGCATTTTGCTTGTCCATTCCCATGTGCCAAATGGAGTAAGCCTGGAGGACAGAAAATGACTGCCTACCAAAAGATGGACCATATTGACTTCAGGGTACTTCATCTGGCTGTCCACTTCAGAAAGCTTTTTATAAACATTCAATTCTTGTTCCATGTCTGGTGCATCTCACCGAATTCTATAGAAAATGCATCCAGATTTCTGTGGAAGAAATTCAGCTTTGCTTGCAGGCATCACTCCAGAGAACTTCAGATCCAACAGTTAAGACATGCTGTTTGCCTCTCATGTCAAATAGTAAAAGGTTCTCCAGGCTAACTTATGCTGCTGGTCACATGTATACAATCCCTATGATTTTAATAGATGTGCCCAACTGTGACTGGAGTTCAGTGAACTGTTCTGGGAGTGCCCGGAAAGGCACAAAACCCCAGCAGTATTTTAGTCAGTGAAGCAAACAGAACCAGATCCTAACACACAGGGACCAGACAGTTTGACTTAAACAGTAATAGCTTTTATCTACTCCATTTTGAGAAGAGAAGTTAATAAACGATAAATCTTTCATTTAGATCCAAAAATAGTCTATGTGTGCGTGCAAACAGGTCTGCAAAGTCTGCACTAACTCAAGAATTGAAATGGGGTCTGTAGGTGACCACTACCAGGTAGCAGTTCAGCTTTTACGCAAACTGATGAAACAAAGAAAATTCACCTTAAGTGCAGTAAGCTTGAAAGGAAGGACAGTCACCAAATTGTCATTCAGAAATAAGACCAGTGCCTGCTGAAACCACACTTCCTTTTCCCAGCTGGGAACTTATTATAGGGAAACCTCACGACTGAGAAAACATTTCAGAGAAGAGTGTGTATACACACCCACATTGGAACAGATTACCAATTGTTAGGCTAGTGAAGGCAAGTGTATTTCTCTAAAGCAATCCCTTCTCCTCTCAGGAGATAAATCTTATGCAAACAATACTTGCTAGCAACAAAAATAGAAGATGTCAACAGCTTTCTAGTTTGTTACGCTATTTAATATCAAGTTTGTACCAAGCACAGTGTGGGAATAAAAAAAAAAATACTGAAAAATGCACAAAGTCATTTGTAATGTTATTCAGGTCAAATTCAGAACAGTTTAGTTAGAAAAGTCTGGAATGATTCTGAACTACCGGAGGCCTTTAAGAGTCTTGGAGATGTTCTTATGAGCCAAACAGGCATAAACAAAAGAGAGTCTTAAATATGAGACAAATCTGAGGTTAAATTGAGCCAACGTGGATAAAAACAAAACAAAAAAACAAAAACATACTCTACGTGGCATGAAGCTCTCAGCAAGCCACAACACAAATGTCAGTCCTCTCTGTGTAGCAAAATGAAAAAGATGGGGCTAAATGGGCAATACAGTATTCTAGGACAATTCCCCCTGAAAATTCAGTTTACATTTAACAACTTGCATATAAAAATTTTATAAACCATACTTTTTCCACAACAAAGCTTAAGTATGTTACCTGAAGCAATTTATCATCAAGTTGAAATCAAGTTATCTATCTGAGATAGCAGTTTGCAGATAGAAGATGTATGCTCCTACCTTGCACAGTTTTATTTCACTATTTAGGGATTATTTAGCACACATTAATGCCACAGAACGTTCTTCAGTTCCCACATGTAGCAAACAATTCCTATCTGGAGTATGGCATTTGTCACTTACTAATCTGAAAAGACCAAGACTAATTTGTGATCTGGAAAAACCCAAATAGTAATGCCCAGAAGTATGATAAAAGACATCTGAAAACAAGATTTGGCACATGTTCCTTACAAAATTTGTGCCCTGATGACTGATGATACAGGTCTCCTAGACACAACAGCCCAGTTGAAGACAAGGCTCCTCCTTTGAGCGTGAAACCGAACTCAAAGAAGAAAAAGCTTATGAAAATTTCTCAGCAATTTATGTTGAAACAGGTAATGCAAAGTTGGCACTGGAATGCTGCCTTGGTTAACATCCTGATTTAGACCAGATGCTTCTAGGTCTAATATCAACAGTGCATCAACTTCACATGAACAAGGAAAAAGCCTTTAACACACAGGCAAGACTCATTTGGAAAATGCCAGAACTACAAAGGCATTCATGGAAGCCTCATGAAGGTTGACCCACTTTCATACAAGAGTAACAGTACAGTTTTAAGAGAATCTTCTGAATATTGAACATAATCTTACAAGGAAAGGCTTCTGTTGTTAGGAGTTATAGCAGTTAAATAAAGGTTATCAGAAAAACACAGGGCCAGGGTGGATACAGAAGAGATTACTGAGTCAGCCAACAAGGTATGAAAGGGCAGCAAGATCTGAAACATCACAAACCTGTAAGAGAAGCAAACCAATGCTTCCCTTCTGCTAGCACTACAGCTTACATAAGCAATACAGGAATCATGTGAGCAGCAAAGTAACTCTATTAACAAAACTGACCGGTTTTCTGGGCTTAAATCTTTAGATCAGTTTAGCTCTAGCATCAAAACTTCACTGAGTTACAGTATTCCACCTTCGACATTTTACTTTTCCTCGGTTTCTGGGACAATCAGCAACTAAAAGGAGCTGGAAGAAACAGATGATAAAGCAACAGGTGGGGACAACCCAGAAGATCTGGAAGGTACAAGGGAATAAGGCTTATGGAAATGCAACTTGATGTTGGTAAGTCAAGACTTCACTCAGCAGCTGAATGAATCCGCTAAGGCCTCCACTGGAGGTAATTTTACAATCTCTCAGAATAAGTCTCAAGACTTCACTATTTCCTTTCATAGAAACTGAAGGATTTGTATTAATAAACATTACTTCAGTACATTATCCATTAGAAACAGGACAAATACAGACAGAACACCCTTGATCACCCTCCTTTGTATTTGCTATTTTCTACAAAAACCTGAGAACTAGCCTCACCATCCATTACCTTTTATAAATCTTGAGAACAATAGTAATTCAAACTTCAGTACCATGCTGCAAGTAAGCTGAATGCAGGACTTACAGTGCTACTACAAACAAATACGCTGTGTTGGTTCATCAAATGATCTAACAGGTGCTGTATGGAGCATTTACAGTGAAAGTAAAGGTTGGTGACCTTTTCCTTCATGGTACAAAACAAGGGCATGCATGGAGTGAACGCTTTTCAGTCTATGTTAACTCAACAGGATGCAGCAAAAGGTTCCATGAGACAACTAACAGCTCACTGCTGACAAAAGGGTAGGCTCACCCCTTTATGTGTCCCTCCCCAGCTGTATATTGCTGCCCCTTACATGCCACCAGCCCTTGGTGCTAATCGGATCCCTTATATAAGACCATTCAGTTCACTGAACTGTCAGAAAACTAACATAAGGGTGAAAAAAAATAAGCCAGTTTGCTAAACTCACAGAAAACTGAACAGGTCCTGGAGACTATAACCACCACGTACACACACGTTATCCCCTGTGCCAAAGCAAGGGGAAAGGGGGGTCATAAACCTCCGAGCAAGGCTCCCCTTTCAGCAGCCAACTCGTTCTGGCAGCTCAGCTGTCGCATGAAGCCTCATTCTAACCATTCCCTCATTTTACAGGTTTGAACATTTATGTAGAAAAGAATTTGAAAATATCATGTGACAGCTATCCATAACATTATGAAATAGTAGGTGTTTCAGTGAATCAATGTCTCCAGGCTCTAGCTCAGAACTGCCCAGATACTTTTTCTAATTCTCATTCCCTCGAGTCTGAAAACTTACTCACTGTTGAACAATGAAGTGTTAACTGAAGAGTTAAGTACTCTTGTTTTTCATTTGCTACCCCCCCCACCACACCTACCAGCACCCCCGATAAAATCCATTATCTTTCTCATTTGGAGCCACTGCTGGATTTCAGTGCTGGCCTAACTTGTTTGTTTGCATCCTGAGGTTTCCTCTAGGCTCTGTTTGTTCTCAAATGTATCTGGAATCTTTCTTCTCTGTAGTCCTTGGCACTCATCAGCACTATGTCTTCATGAGCTTTGCAACACAAGACCTAAGGTAAGACAATTCAGAATCTGCCCCCCGAAGGACACAACTGCCTAACCAGAAGGGATTTACATTGGTTCTCTTTTCAAACCAGTCAAATCTATCTTCCTGGCATGTCTTTTTCCAGAGTGCCTAATAGCTTAGTCAAGATAATGGAAATGGCAGAATGGCACACTGAGGAGTAAAGGTCTCATAGCCAACTTCTCCTCGCCTCAAAAATCCTACACCTATTTTAAAGAATTAGCTATGTAAAAACAATCCTGCCTTGAAAAGTCATAGTGATAACTTTGCTCTTTCTCTTCTGTCAATACTCTAGAATCGGAAAACAAAAGATGGATAAGGTTCCTTCTCCAAGGAAAACTGCACAATGATCCAGAGATGAAGCAGTTATGAAAACAGTAAGAAGCATCAATTAATTCAGTAAGCTAAAAAAGTGGCTACTTCAAAACAAAACAAAAAAAAGAATAAAAAGGGTTTTTTCCACACACACAAAATATAGTTAGACAGCAAAAACCCACTGTTATAAGGCGCTATAGAATCCAGTAATTGACAAGAATCAAAGAGGTTCTAGCCATTTACACAGCAGCAAGCACAGAGAGCTGCAATGCTAGGAAAAAAACGGACTGTAAGAAAAACAAGATGTTTAAAACCAACCTTTAACCATTAGGCATTGCATAAAATCCTCATAAACATGCAGATTATTCCACATGTTTACTATGGGAGTTTTTTATGTTTTTACTGAATGTTGGAGACTATGCTCCCAGCTGGCTCACAGGTACAAAGCATGACAGTTTTTATGTTCTTTTCTCCCACACAAATGCTACAGGGAGTAAAAGCTCTACTATGCATTACTCACATGCCACAGGCAGTTTGCTTCTATAAAAATCAAATTTAAAAACCCCAAACACAACAGAAGTAAGGCAAACCATACAGAGCCTAACAGCTGTACAGATTTGCAGGGCAACCGCAAACAAACAGACCACTGCGGACCCTCCCTAGCATTTGTCTTCCTCCCTTTTCTCCCTAGTTTAGGCAAGGAGGAAGATTGCTGTGGGTTGTGACCCTCCCTGAAGAACAGCAGCACCGCAGAAGGTGGTTCTCTCTTGGCTTCCCACAGGACAAAAGCCTAGAAATGTTGTGGGCCGCAGGTAGAAAGGTTGCTACC